AAACGTATAAACGTACAAACATATAAACGTATAAACATATAAACGTACAAACATACAAACATACAAACATACAAACGTACAAACGTATAAACGTATAAACGTACAAACATATAAACGTATAAACATATAAACATATATATAACATATATAATTTTTCACGTTTTAAATCCTGTAACTTGCTTCTAGTTTTCTCTTTAACTGCCAACAAAGACGTCATTTAAATCAAATCATGATTTTTCTCTGAACATAACAAACCTCAACATCACAGAACAAACTAAATATTATTCTGCATCATGAGTACTTTTACTGTTGATACTTTATAAGTAGTTTTCAGTATATTTTGATGCTGATACAAAACTTTGAATGCAGGAGTTTTACTTGAAACGGAGTGTTTCTACGCTGTGTATTTGTACTTTTAATTGAATAAGAGTTCTTCTTCCACCTTTTGAAAACAGATTTATTATGAACACAGACAGATGATGTCGTCCTGCTGACAGAGACATCAGATGATAAATCACATCTATGTGGCTACAAAAGAGGATGCTAAAAATATTGCTCCACAACGCTCCTAGTGGTCAGAACCTCTGCAGGGTTCCTTTAACTTAAAGGCCAAATACCTTCCCAAATAAGTCCAGGATCAAGGTCTAACTGAGTCCTTTATTTATTAGATTTAGACGTGGAAACCGTCCCCTCAGCTTTATGAGCATTAAACCACCTGTGACTCAAAACATCTTTGATTTAATTGTGTCACAACATGAAGATACAATCAATCTCTCTTTGATTTCATGTCTCCATCCCTGCTGCTGATTGGTGAACTCCTGCTGTTTAATCTTACACTCTTGTTCCTCCTCAGCCTCTTGGACTCCTCCTCCTCTTCCTCCTCCTCCCCCGCTGATGAAGCTCAGTCTCCGGCCTCCTTCCCCCTGGACTCCTCTCTCAGCCCCTCTCACCGGGCCTTCCTCCTCCCCAGGCCGGCTTCCTCCTCCTCCTCCTCCTCCTACAGCCCCCTCTGTGGAGCTCCAGAGCCCGACTCTCCGACCAGATCTACTTCCAGCGGCGGAAGCAGCGGGGGCGGTACCGCGGTGTCGGATGCCTCCATGTGTTTTTCCTCAGATTCGTTTTCAGCACAGGTGAATAAAGTTGAAAGTAGAAATGTGTATTCATCCACCGCTGAAAATAGTCCCCAACAAAAAGTCACTGTTTCCTCCAGTTTGTTTGATAAAAACCACATGAATTACTGATAAAAAAAACTTCATACAGTGTTTTTTAAGAGTAACTTCTTGAGCTCTGAGACAAATTTATTTTATTTATTTATTTATTCATTCATTCATTCATTATTTTATTTTATTTTATTTTATTTTTAACGATTGTCTCACTGAGTTATCTGTTATTGTTATTATTTCCTTTCTTTTGCTGTTTTGTCTGTCAGAGCACTTTGTAAACTCTGTTTTTAAAGAATAAATAAAGTTATTATTGTTATTATTATTATTATTGTGCCTCCTCTCTACAGGTGGACTCCATCCTGAGGGGGGACTACTTCACCCCCATGGGGGCCGTGGGGCCCAAGAGGCTCTGCCAGGTGTGCGGTGACTTTGCCTCAGGGTATCACTACGGCGTGGCGTCCTGCGAGGCCTGCAAGGCGTTCTTCAAGAGGACCATACAAGGTGATGATCAATAAGAGGAATTAACAGGCGGAGCTGATCAATACGACAGCAGCCGCTGTATTGATCAGTGTGTGAAGCTGTGAGCTCACACATCAGCTGCTGGGTTCACACCAGAGGAACAGAGGAACAGAGTAGTTCTACTCCAGGCTCATTGAGAGAGGGTGTGATGTCATCGACCTTCCTGTTTGTGGTTACCTAGGGGACATCGAGTACAGCTGTCCGCTGGTGAGCGAGTGTGAGATCATCAAGCGGAGGAGGAAAGCCTGTCAGGCCTGTCGCTTCCACAAATGTCTCCAGGCCGGGATGATGAGGGAGGGTACGTCACGTCCATCTGTCTGTCTGTCTGTCAGGGAGGCTTCCCATGAGCCTTTGCAGTGTTGTTGAGCCTCGTTTGTTGTCAGAAAGTTACAGAGATCAGTTTAAAGACCACAAAGAGACACTAAACGACCACAAAGAGACACAAAGAGACACTAAATGACCACAAAGAGATCACAGAGACACAAAACAACTGCAAAGAGACACAAAGAGACCCCAAAGAGACCCCAAAGAGACCACAAAGAGACACAAAACAACCACAAAGAGACAAAAAACAACCACAAAAAGACATTAAAACAACTACAAAGAGATGAAAAATGACCACAAAGAGACTTAAAATTGCTACAAAGAGACTCTATTTGTAGTCTATAAAAGTCACAGTTGACTTTACTACTCCATAGTTGTAGTATTCGTGTCTCATTCAGTATTGTGTGTCTCTGTGTTGCAGGAGTCCGTATGGACCGAGTGAGAGGAGGCCGACAGAAGTACAAGAGGCGTGTGGAGACAGGACTGTGTTTTTACAGTAAAGCTCCGTACAGTCACCCAGTGAGCAGCAGTGAGTTCACTCATCGAGCTCCAACGTTAACTTCACTTATCAGTTCAACTCAACGGTGATGTTTTATCAACTGTCGCCTGTCTTTTTAGGAAACAAGGTGGTTTCTCATTTGCTGCTGACAGAGCCCGCCCCACTGGCTGCCAATCAGGACGATTCGACCAATGAGGGCAGCCTGCAGAACCTCATGACCCTCTGTGACCTCCTGAACCAGGAGCTGCTGGTTCTGATTGGCTGGGCCAAACAGATCCCAGGTACCCTGAAGGCCTCTTGGAGACTTTTAATGCTGCACTACACCATCAGTACAGATCTTTACCACATCTGTACTTTGTAGTTTTAAGATTCTTCCTTTTAACTACGATATCTTTTAATAAAAGGATAA